CACTGAACATTTACTCCCACCAGTCCTCCTGGCTTAAATAAAACAAGCCATGACAGCTTATCAATGAGTATATTGGGATTAGCTGGCAAACATGCATATAAGCAAACAGGAAAGAAGAGTACAGAAGCTTCTCTTTGCATCACAGGAATTTGGCAACTACAATGTTTGATAAAAAAACTTAGCAAAAGAAATGATATGTGGTAGTCACTGAGACCCATTTAGTACCATCTTCCCCTACTAAACATGCCTCACTATTGTGACCATGGCTCATTTTCTTCCACCTGTCTTTTGATTTATCTGACGTATTTAAAACAATAAAGTTGAGAATATTGTCCTTCTGGTGTGGAGAGGAATTTAACATTAATCACTGTTTTCTTAGTAACATCTGCCTTATAAGAAAAATACTTTATCAAAGACTTGTACAGCACTTCTGCCAATTCATCTTTCACAGAGAATCTCAGAGATTCGACCCACACCATCATATTTGTAAATCTTATACAAAACTTCTTCAAACTGTATTTTATCTTCTATTTTATTGGCCAAACCAAATTTTTATGAGTTTTCCATTAACTAAATAACTGATTTCATCAACTCACTGCTCAGTCCTTTTTCTCTGAACAATATTTTCAAATTATCCAGCTATCAGAATAATTTTTAACTAGAAACTTAATCCAATAAGAGGACCGTTATCTAAAAGCCAACAAACTGTAAATATCAACTATTTCTGAATCAAGTAATGAATGTCCTAAACCACACTATAAATAGCCACAGCCATCTGCCTGATTTGCCCCTTCTCCTCATTACTTTAACTTGTCTATCTCCAAGGACAATCTTACCATGTAGCATGCCTGGTTTTACTGCCTGCCTCCTGCCTCAGAAAAGCAGCAGCAAGGGGGAAGATCACCATCCATGACCCCCCCCTCCAGAGAGCTAACATTACTAAATCTGACTTCCATAACTGACCTCAAGTGCTTATCTATTATTTCCATCATATTCCTTCTACTACAGTTGTCTGCTATCATTTAACCACATTTTACCTCATTTCACCACGTTTTATCTCATTTCATTAACTCTTTCCCTATCATTTAGGGGTTGTGGTTTTTTTTTCGTTTGGCACTGTCTTACAAGGAATATTTTTAACAAAGCTGTGGAAAGACAAGTACATTGTACCCACCCATTCTCCGTAATTTCCTTGCAAACCTTTTCAAAGGAAAGTTTACCCAGGAAAAATAATTTTAAGGTAACCCTGTCAGGTCCCACTACTCCAAGGCAGTCTACTACTCTCAAGAAACAGTTACCAGTTAGAAGAAATGAAAACCTTAGTAGGAAAGAGGACAAGAACTATAAAATTCCTTAGCAGGAAATGGGGTGTCTATACATGCAGTTACATACAGCATAGCAGTTTGTCACAATTTAGAACATTTGTGAAATGCGGAGAAATGCCAAAGTCTGCAAATCAGCATTTTTGCCAGAAAAATGTTTGTCAGAAGCACAACTTTCCACAGCAACATATGCATTGCTTGCAAAGACAAAAATTCCAGTCAAAACAAAAGCCACACACACACACAAGTGCCTTCCAAGCTCATCCAGCCCAAAAGCAGCAGAACTCAACAGCTTTGTCACTTGCTGGGACAAGGATGTGCATCAGCAGTGCACAGCTCTGTGGGGGTCCCAGCCGTGGGGGCAGAGTCCCCATTGCTCTCTCCCAGGGGTGGCAGATGGTTAATTAAAAGGAAATAGCATCCATAACAGAGAATCACCCCCAACCAGTCAGAAGACGTATGGTTAAGGCAAGACACCAATATGGGAGGCAGTTCAAACCCTGCTTGCCTCAAGCAAAGATACGAATTTCAGTGCCCTGCATATGCATTTGCTCAAACTCTTGGCTATTTTAGGATGGGCTTGTCCAATATATAACAACAACTCTGAAATGCCTCAGAAACACAGTCCATAAAAATGCAGAATGAAAAAAAACCCTTAAGTTTAAAACTTTTGCAGAACAGGAAACCCTTTCTTGTCAACTCTCCCAAGCAGCTACTAGAAGAACCTAAGAAAAGGAAAATTACTCATTTCTGAAAAGATATGAAAATAAATGATAATGCTATAAGACACAGTTTGTGAATACTAAAATGAGGATTAATAATGTTAGTATTTATTCTAGTGAATTACTTCACAGGGCATCATGAAAATTTATTCCTAGGATAATTTTTCAATCTACAGATGTCAAAGGACCGTAAACAGAAAGCAAGCATTAAAAGTGAAATATGTAATTAGCAGATAAGCATCTACAGGAACTCTGTGTGAATCTGTTTTCATTCTTATTTGAAATACACAGCTTAGTAATGATACTTGCTTAGATGTAAGTATTGAAGTCCTCTTTCACCCTGAATAAGGAAGATTATATAATAGAGGCAACAATAATTTCAAAAGGTTCAATAATTAGGAAATCAGAGTAAACATGAATATTTGCCAGGGAAAGCAAAATATAGGCATTTGATAGGAAGAAAAACCTTGGAAAGGCAGTACTAGACCAGTAACTAAGAACAGAGAGTAAGCTGCCTGGCCTGCCAACTCATATATGTTATAAACTTAGGTGTGTGTCACCCAAACAAGCATCACATAATGCAACAGAAAGGTAGGCTACCTGAATGTCACATTTAGTTCTACACAATTAATTACAAGGAAAAGAAAAAGAGAAAACAAAAAGAAGCCCAGAGGAGAGCAAAAGGAAGACAGGAAATCACAGTGAGTCTGACTTACAAGGTGTTTTCTGGAGAGAGGATATAGCTTAACTAACCAACAACTACAGAGCAAAAGTCAAGCACGGTAATACTGTGGCATAAAGTATCTGAAGTATTTAAACATCATGACAGGTAAGCAACTGGATATAAAAAAAGTCTATCTCTAAGAAACAAGATGAACTGCAGAAAAAAATTACAGGATACTAAGCAGACCATCCAAAATAAATCCTCTGCCACACAGCCTCCCAAGAGAGCTATTATCTAACACTGAAATTTACATAGGATAGACGACTAGTGAAGTCCAATCAGGAGCACTGCATCTTTATCTCAAGAGAGACAAACTGCCCAACCTCAAACTTCCCTTATTCTGTTAAACATTTCCGAATATATAGGCCAACAAAAGGCTTCAGAAGGAGCACAGAACTAGCTTTTAATTAACGCTGCTCATCCTTCAGCTGTACATGTACAATTTCTAAAAGCCATCCTGTACTTGCTGAACCCCTAACACAAACCTCTCACATGGATCAAAGAACATTCAACTGCAAATGGTCACAGCAGATGTAACGCCTGATGACTATAGAGACAGCCAAGAATTTTGCACCTTTCTGAACATGACTCCACAGCAGATAAATGCTGTTACAGCTCATGGCAATGCCAGCCACAGCTAATTATAACTTTATTGAGATGTTTTGGAAAGAGCCAAAGGCGTTCAAGCAAACAACTTGTAATGGGTTACATTCCCAGTTCTGCCACTGACAATGCACGACTTTGGCAAATAGTTTAAATACTCTACTTCTTTCCTCCTGTCTCATCCATACCACTTACCAAGCTTTTGAGGGATACTTGGGGGAGGAGGGAGCAAGAAGAATAGCATGCTAGCTTCTATTGAAGGGCACTATAAACATGCAAAGCATTATTGCTATTAACGCCCTGGCAGAATCTCTTAGGTCCTGTAAAACAATTTTTTTATCCAAAGCAATTTTTCAGATTTCTATCAGCTATGAAAAAATGCCACAATATTTATGAGACTCCACTGGATATATGACACGTGATGTTCTTCTTATACATAGCTAAGCTAGTTACTTTCCACATAGTATTTACTGGATGTAGCGGATAGAAACATGATTCAGTTGCAAACCAATTTTTCATTGAATCATTGAAGTTAAAATAAAAATTACTCTCTTGTCCCCATGATCAACTCATTTACATTCCTATAAGGGAACCCTCGGAGAAGAATGTCACATCGGCAACTCTTCTCAGAGCAGTTGTTTGATGTTACCATAGAAAGTACAATTAAAAAGAAGACTTCCCTACTAATTAAAAAAAAAAACAAAACCAAACCAAGAACCAAGAAACAGAGAAGTGCTTCACATTGCTAAACAGGCTGAAGACTCTGTTGACAAAGATGGTACTTTGAAGGAAAGACACAGAAAGAAAAGAGATGGATAGGAAGCAAGAGACAAAGAAAGGAGACCTAAAAAGGAAGCAGAGTAGATACTGTTCAGTCTCAAATGTGGCCAAATGAGAACCAAACAGTGGGCTGCTGGTAACGTGGGCAATGTGAGGTTTACAACAGAGATCTTCTTGTAAGCAAAGCCAAAGAGGAACAACCACGAAGGCTGCATTATTGACTGTTATTAATGTAACATGCCCATCACTGAAGTATCTGACAGTAATGGCTCTAGGCCAGCAGTTCCCAAGTCCTTCAACCGCAAGACCCCTATCAGTCCTTTAACGCATTAATGAGCGTATCAACCCCACCGCTTTTCAACTGAAAACACTAGGTAACGTGTCCCATAATACCGAAGGAGTTGCAGCCGGTCCCGCAGGCCTGCCCAGGGGGCCGAGGGCCCAGAGGGGCCGCGAGCCAGCACCGAGGGCCGGGGGCAGCCGCCGGCCGCGGAGGGGCAGCGGCATAAACGGGGCGCGCAGCTCGCCGCAGGCGATTTTTAACAGCGGGTTATGAAACCGGTGACAAGTTTAGGCAGCCGGCCGCGGAGGGGCACCCGGAGAACTCCGGGGAGGCGCCGAGAGCCGCGCGGCGGGCAGGGGCCGCTCCCCTCAGGGCCGGCCGCCATGTCACGCCCCTCCGCCCGGCGGCGGCGGGGGGCGGCCGCCCTCTGAGGGGGAGGGAAACGGCCCGCGGCGGAGCCGGGCGGCCGCTCCCTCACGGGGGAAGACGGGGCAGCGGCTCGGGCGGTCGCTCCCCTCCGGCTGCCGGAACGGTGAGACGGGGGGGAAGAGGTCGCGGGTTATTACCTGCAGCTCCGCCCGCTCCGCCTCCCACTCGGCGCGCTCCGCCTCGAAGCGGCCCCACTCGTGCTGCAGGAAATGCAGGATGCCCGGCACGCTGTACTGAGCCCGGGACGCCGACACCGGCGCGGCGGCTCCGGAGGCTGAGACCCCCCCGCCGCCGCCGCCTCCTCCTCCTGCTGCCGCCGCGGCCGCC